ATATCTCCATGTCAACATGGATTTATAAGGCGAAGATCTACGACGACAAACCTCTTGGAGCTAACGTCTTTTGTAATAAATGGCTTTAGAAAGAACATCCAGACTGACGTAGTTTACACTGACTTTAGTAAAGCGTTTGATTCAGTAAATCACTCGCTACTTGTATTAAAGCTAGACTTATTAGGATTTCCATGTGATCTTCTAACATGGATCTCAAGTTATCTGAGTGGTAGGACTCAACGAGTCCTCTTTAAAAACTCGATCTCTGATTTGATCCGAGTTACTTCAGGCGTCCCACAAGGAAGCCACCTTGGCCCACTTCTTTTTACTTTATTTATAAACGATCTCCCTCTAGTCTTGACAAAGTCGCGTGTCCTTATGTACGCAGATGACGTTAAGTTATGCCTGCAATATAACGAAATTTCTAGCAGTTCAGACTTACAATCTGACCTAAACGCTTTTCAAACATGGTGTTGTGAAAATCTTTTGGATTTAAATAGCTCTAAGTGCAAAGTAATGACATTTTTTCGGGTGAACCCACAATATGCAACGTATACGCTGGGTGGTTGCGCGTTGTCTAGAATTACGCATGTTGATTACCTTGGCGTCCTCCTTGACCCTAAACTTAAGTTTGGTGACCATATTACTTCTATGGTGAATAAAGCCAGGGGAGTACTTGGATTTATTAAAAGGTGGTCAAAGGAATTCGATGATCCCTATGTTACAAAGACTCTCTTCATTTCACTAGTCCGTCCAATCCTGGAGTACTGTTCTGCAGTTTGGAGTCCTCAGTATGGTGTACATATAGACCGGATAGAGTCTGTGCAAAAGAACTTTTTATTATTTGCTCTACGGGGCCTTAACTGGAATGCAAGCCTTATTTTACCATCCTACTCTAGTAGACTTCTCCTAATTAATCTACCATCCTTAGTAAACCGTAGAACGATGCTTGGCACAACTTTTATCTATAAACTTATTCACGGGGATGTGGAGAGTCCCGAGTTACTGGGTCGCATAAGCTTCTCCGTGCCTAATAGAATTACCAGGAACTATGTTCCTCTTACATTAAATATTTGTAGATCTAACTTTGATATGCATGAACCGTTTAGAGTACTGTGTAACGACTATAATAGACTATACCACATTATTTCTACTACCGACTCTTTGCCAAGCCTAAAATCATTAATTTTATCTTACCTAGCACAAAATTAGTATTAGTATTAGTCTCGTACGTATTTGTAATCTTAGTCTGTCCGCTTCTACATTGTGCTTTTAACTTCTCGCGATCTCGTTTTTACGCCTATTAGGCTCCGCGCGTAACAAGCACTGCTTGGTGTCGTAAGGGCCACTTGTTTGCGCTGATCATAGTGCATCAACGTCCGAATAAAAAAATAATTCATTGAAGCTAAGTTATAATGAATTAAATGAGCTCAGTAAAGAATTGATTCCGAGAATACAAATAACAAGAAAGGAAGCAAACTTCGGCAAGCCGATGTTTATATACCCTTGCAGCTATTACAAATCGACTACATTTCGATTTCTAGGCCTATATTACTAAAAACAATGAAGCTATGTTGATTTTGCACTGCATTTTGCCATCGATTCTATGGCAGCTATATGATATAGTTATCCGATACTAATAAAATTAAAACCGTAATTCCATAATATTTTAATATTACCAAATCCCAAAGAACAAAAAACAACAAAGTTCCTATACGATTGTTCCTATACGAGCTATATGATATAGGTATGACAACTTTTGTTAAAGTTTCAAGCAGATAGCTAGATCGACTCTCCTGATGATGGTTATCAAGAATATATATACTTTATATGGTCGGAAATGTCTCCTTCATTGCGTTGCAAACTTTTGACTGAAATTATAATACCCTCTGCAAGGGTATAAAAATGCCAAACGAGATCGTCGATCTACAACATCACCACATAGGTGCATATGTCGCCCTAATTTTATCACTTGGGGTGATAACATTTTATGTAAAAAAGTCACATCAATTAACTTCGCCATCGTCAAAGGACACCGACTTGCCAGAGAGGCCAGCGTTAACCAACTCCCCAAGAAGACATCACCAGATGCCAGTATCCGACGCCTTTGAGATCAACGTTGGATGATGTTGAACACCTGTTCACCACGGACAGCGCCAGCTCTGCCTGAGCTACCTTTTCTATTTTTACTAACCCTAGCGTATAAACTGCTTGTGTGGGAGACAATAATGATGACTCTGTATATATCTTATATGTATATCTTAGAACATAAGCAATGCAATGTATTTTTAATTAACAGCCCCATACCACTTCTTTGGTATGGTGCCCCCTTGACTCTGAAAACGTGTATATAAACCTGACCTTTTGCCCTAATAAAATCAGTACTCAAGCAATACTTGTGTATTCAACTACTCTGCGTTCTACGAGTGAGCATCGCTGTGTGTTTGGCCCTCATACGCATGATCCCTCCGAGTTAAACCAATTTAAGTGTTGATTTAGCAACCTATCGTCACTAGAGTATAATCTAGGGGCAACCATTCCTATAAATAATAAAATTAAATTACAAACACATAGAAATAGCATACAAAGGTTGCACATACAAATGCCTTATAGACACAGGATCCACAATAAATATAATTAATAACGAGGACGAAAGCTAACTTCGGCAAGCCGAAGTTTTAATGCCCTTGCAGACTTTGCCGAAATTGATAAAATTGAAAAAGTAGCGAAAGTAATAAGGTAAACATAAATAAAGTAGATTTGCATAGTTTCATGTCAATTGCTTTTATACAGCAAAAATTTCATATAAAAATAGAAAAAAAGGGATATTTTTGCAGCCTTTAACAATTTTTCCTACGGAAGCCAGAAGATATAGACGTCCGATCGGCAAGCACTTTTACCCTGATCTAGATATGCGTAAATAAAAAAGACATGGAAAAATGTATGTCAATAGCTTACACACTGCTCGAAATATTCTGAAAATCATCAAATTTGGACCGATTTCACCGTATTGTTCCTATGGGTGCTATAGGATATAGACCGAATGGCATGCGCTTTTACCCTTATCAAGGTATTCATAAAAAAATACTATTTGGAAGGGTTCATGTCAATAGCTTATATACTGCGCGAAATATTCTAAAAATCATTAAATTTTAACCGATTTCACCTTATTGCTCCTATGGGAGCTATAGGATATAGACGTCCGATCAGCCCGCGCTTTTACCCTGATCAAGGTATGCATAAAACAAGAAAGGAAAGTTAACTTCGGGCGGAGCCGAAGTTGATATACCCTTGCAGAATATTCTGTAAATTATATTCTTCAAAATTTGAATTGAACGTATCTACCTTTTTCAGCCACTTTTATAATGCAAGGGAGTGACAGTAACGGGCAGTAACGGTCATACAAATTACGACTGGGTTTACATGCTTTAGTTTACAACCCATTACTTTTTAGATAACAGAGACATTTTATTTAAAGAAATCCACGGGATTATCCCATTATAACTTGGTAAACAGGTCAAATTTGGCAAACGTTCAATTGGTTCAATGAACACGTGCAAGGGGCAGGAATTGTACAAAGATCCTGAACTTCGCAACCGGTAACGCAGGTATGAGTGGCTTTGTAACTGTACAATATCAGGTAATACCTTTTCTAGGACCAAAATTATTCATAACATTTAAATTGCACAACAGGTAGCACAGGTACATACAAAAACATGATTTTTTATTGCCTTTTTTAAAAGGGTCAAACTAGGGAACCTTTAAAGGATCTAGGGATAATTCTTTTTAATTTGGGATATTACCTAACTGGGCTATATATTTAGAAATCCTATATTCCGTAGATCAGTCAATGAAAAAATTTATCGAGTGACGACGTTACTCTGTCTGTTACAAGTGCAAAAATATTTTTTACAAGTGATACAAATTATTTTTTACAAGTGATACAAATTATTTTTTACAAGTGATAAAAATTATTTTTTACAAGTGATACAAATTATTTTTTACAAGTGATAAAAATTAAATGTAATAGCGTGCTATTCGAAACACAAACTTTGGTAAGTACATTTTACTAATAACTTTCAAATTCTCATAAAATGGCATTCCATGCAGGTGATTTTATATATATATCATTTCATAATTTTTATTTTTTCATACAGCACTATAAAAAATGCCACGTGTATCACATTTGTCACAGGAGCTACGTCGCCAAGCTGCTTTAAGTCGCAGTAGAGCCCGCTATGAACGGAATGCGTCCCAAATAAGAGCTCGAAACTCTCAACATATCGCCAATGTTCGCGACAATAAACCTAACTTTCGGGAGGAAAGTCGTGCTCAGGATTCCACTGCCCGCGCGCAGCGGAGAAGAAGTGAAAGGGTTCGCAACCTTGAACGAATTCGGGACGCACAAGCGCATTCAAATCGCCGGGAGGACTCTGAGGAGCGAAGACAAGAGCAGTTGCGAAACACTGCTGAGCATGCGTCTCGGAGGACTAACCCAGAAATGCGTTCTGCGGAGCGTATTGAGGATGCTGCAAGACATTCGAATCGTCGACAGAACTCTGAGGAGCGAAGACAAGAGCAGTTGCGAAACACTGCTGAGCATGCGTCTCGGAGGACTAACCCAGAAATGCGTTCTGCGGAGCGTATTGAGGATGCTGCAAGACATTCGAATCGTCGACAGAACTCTGAGGAGCGAAGACAAGAGCAGTTGCGAAACACTGCTGAGCATGCGTCTCGGAGGACTAACCCAGAAATGCGTTCCGCGGATTCGGGACATGGATGCACATTCGATCCGTCGAGAGGACCCCGAGGAGCGAAGACGAGAGCAGTTGCGAAACACTGCTGAGCACTCTACTCGGAGGACTTTTCCGGAGTTTCGAATTCCTGAACGGATCCGGGACATGGATGCACACGCGATCCGTCGAGAGGACCCCGAGGAGCGACGACGAGAGCAGTTGCGAAACACTGCTGAGCACTCTAATCGGAGGACTATTCCGGAGTACCGAAATCCTGAACGGGTTCGGGACGCCGCAGCGCGTACTATTCGGCGAGAAGACACCGAGGAGCGGCGACAAGAGCAGGTGCAAAATACTGCTGACCATGCCACTCGGAGGAACAATCCCGAATTTCGAATTTCAGAGCGGATTCGGGACGCCGCAGCACGAGCTGCTCATCGCGAGGACCCAGAGGAACGTGCAAGGGAACAGGAAAGGAACACTGGAGAGCACCGACAGCGACGAAGGGATATGGAAGACAGGCAGCGAGAACGGGAAAGGGACGCCGATAACAGGAGAGCAACCAGGAGAAATCCCATCGCTAGATCACAGGAGCAACGGATAAACACATCACAACGCCGGGAAACACGACAACAGCGGAGGATTCGGGAAGAACAAATTCGGCAAATGGCAGAGGATCGATTATTAAACTTTAGGATGGACTCACAAAATCGACTGGATGCCTCCCAAAGGCAGTCGCAAAGAAACATGGACGCAAGAGCTCAACTTTCGGAGGATGAACTGGCACGGGAACGAGGACAACAGCGAAATAGGATTCGATCATCAGCGAGGGATCTGTACCACAGAAACATTAAGGAAGGCCCAACGGCTATTTGTATTTGCTGTGGAGGAACATGGTTCCGTTCGCAGGTAAGTGGATTATCAATCCTGGCTATCTCCTCTAAATTTCCTCTCCTAAACGTTGGCAACGCCTTTTATTTGTCAAGAAAATTTCCCAGTCCGTCCGGCAAATATAACTTTTGCCACACTTGTCGTCGTGCCATTTCTCTTGGTAAGCTCCCATCACACTGCCTTTCTAATGGGTTCGATTTCCCAGAAATACCTGAGTGCTTAAATGGACTCACCTGCCTCGAAGAACGCCTTATTTCACCGAGAATCCCTTTTATGAGGATTATTTCCCTCGGCTATGAAAGGCAATGTGGAATCAGAGGGGCAGTGGTGAATGTTCCAATTTCAGTTCCCGATATTGTGACTGCGCTTCCACGCTCTTTCGACTCTACCCATGTCATCCAAGTCCATTTAAAAAGGAGACTAGAGTACGCTCACAATTTCATGACTGAAACTATTCGACCCGCTCGGGTCCTTGAAGCTGTACGGTACTTAGTAAGTACCGAGCTCTACAGAAAGCACAACATTTCACTAAACGAATCATGGCTAACAGAACTTCAAGGAATTAATGATATTCCTTTTATTGCGGACGAATCTGATCGCGAAGCAGTAGAGCAACTTCTTCACCAGCAGCACCACTCCCAAAATGCTTCAGAGCTCGAAGAAAATTTAAATCCCGGAGGCCATGAAACATTATTGGAAAATAATGATACTGCAATTCAGCGCATTGCATTGGCACCGGGTGAAGGCCGTCGGCCAACAAGCTTAACGCTTGACGAAGACGCAGAGGAACTTTCCTTTCCAACTATTTCTTGCGGAGAAATATTTAAAGGAAATACAACCTATGCGAAAAAAGCCAGATCCCAAATCCGTTTTTACGACCGTCGTTGCGCTGTAGTTCCAAAAGTTTTATACATGTATAAATTTTACGAAATGCAGCGCATACAAAATTCAATTTCAATTGCTTTACGCAAAAAGTCAGGAGCGGTTACCGCTGGTAATCTGCGGGATGTATCATTTGTTGACCGTCTTGTGCAACATGATGATGGCTACCACATCCTGAAAGGCTTACGGTCTGCACCAGCTCATTGGGAGGCTGAGAAAAAAAAAGTTATAGCCATGATTCGACAATTTGGGCTGCCAACGTTTTTTATAACCCTTTCCGCTGCTGAAACTAAGTGGAATGAACTTTTAGTTATCCTGTCTCTCCTATTGGATAATAGGGCTATAAGCGAGGAAGAAGCGGCAGCTCTTTCCAGCTCCGAAAAGGCTCGGTTAATCCGATCCGATCCAGTGACGTGCTCTCGATACTTCGATTACAGGTTGCGACAATTAATGAAATTGTTCAAAACCGATATTTTTGGGGAATTCAATCTTTCTCATTTTTATTGGAGAATCGAGTTCCAGCACAGAGGATCTCCACATTCTCATGGCATGTACTGGCTTGCTGGTGCTCCTAAGCTCGAAGACAACGAAAATACCGAGCAAGTAATAAACTTTATTGATAGGTTTATTACTACAAATGGAGACGATACTGAACTACAAGAAGTAATTCAGTATCAACGCCACAAGCATAGTGCTTCTTGCCTAAGAGAGTTACGCGGACAGGAGTTCTGCCGATTCAATATGCCATATCCTCCTATGCCCGAAACGCTTATTTTGCATCCAATAGAAGAAAACGAAGTCAATATTGAAGATCATAAAACTTTGTTTAAAAAAATTAAGGAAGCTTTAAGGACCATTTCAAATGAAGACGCAGCTTTATTTAACAATTTTGATCATTTTCTGTCCCACCTTGAAACTAATTTTGAAGCCTACAAGCTAGCCTTACGTTCCAGCTTAAAAAAGCCACAAATTTTTCTTCGCAGACAATTCTCCGACCGACTGCTCAATGCTTATAATAGAGATATTCTAGGCTTGCACAGAGCTAATATGGATATTCAATTTATCCTAGATGCGTACGCCTGTTGTAGTTATATCATTAACTACATAAACAAATCAAACAGAGGCGTATCGCAGTTGCTCCGTGAAGCCATGGCAGAAATAAGCCATGGGAATATTTCTATTAAAAGGAAATTACAGCACCTAGGGAATAAGTTTATTAACGCAACAGAAATATCGGCCCAAGAAGCAGCTTACAATATTTTGGGTCTGCATATGTCGGAGGCAAGTGAAGGTACTATTTTTGTAAACACTTGCCATCCAGACAAACGAGTTCGATTGGCTCGCTCAAATGAAGAATTAGAGCGACTTCCAAACAACTCGGTGGATATTTTTGAGCGTAATATTCTTGACCGATATGTGCAAAGGCATGAGCAGTTGGAAGGAATTTGTTTAGCAGATTTCGCAGCTTGGTACAGATTTGTCAAGCGGATTGCACGATCTGCCGCTAATCATAGGGAAGACTATGATGAAGCAAATGATGTGGAGGTAGATGACGAAGATGAAGTTGCTGAGCAAAGTTATCCACTGATGGATGGGTCTGGTTGCGTTAAGAAACGTAGGCATCCCCTGATTCTAAGGTGGGTTCGCTTTAGCATAAACTCTTCACCTTGCGATTATTTCCGAGAGCATTTAATGCTCTTCTATCCTTGGCGAAATGAAGAAGCTGAACTTCTTTCCAACGACATTGAAAACACATTCCGAGTAAACCATGAAGCCATTAAGATAATGAAAAGGAACTATGATGTGTTTGATGATATGGAGTTAGAAAGAGTTCTGGAAGATTTGCAAGAGGATAGGGGAGATAATGCTCCTGATGCGGAAGAACCTGCCTCACAATTTTTAGACGAAGAGTTTAGAGCTTTGGCTGTACCAAATATAGAGCGGAACGTAAATATTCTTCAGGAGGACAATGCGATAAACAACCCTGAAGAAGACGGCGAACTTCAATTAATTAGACTCCCCCGTTAGTTTCCAATGATGACCTTTGCTCGCTAACTCGGTCCCTTAATTACAAACAAAGACTATATTATGCACATGTGATGCATAATGTTGTTAGTAAAAATATGTTTTACGAATATGTTGGTGGAGGGGCCGGTGTAGGAAAAAGCAGACTGATTTCTACCATCTATCAGTCTGTGACTTGGCGAGCAAATAAGCTTCCTGGTGCTACGGATTCAGCAAAGGTTTTATTATGTGCTCCGACTGGAAAAGCTGCTTTTGGAATTGGAGGACTGACTCTACATTCAGTGTTTTCTCTTCCAATTAATCAGGCTTCAGGTCCCTTAAGACCTTTAAGCAATGATAGTTTAAATACAATTCATTGCAAGTTGATTGATCTCCAACTGATTATAATTGATGAAATTTCTATGGTTGGTTCTAAAATGCTTTCATTTTTGGATCAACGGCTTCGTCAAATATTCCGAAGCCCTGACTTAAGTTTTGGTGGAAAATCAATTATAGTTTTTGGAGATCTAAAGCAGCTTTCCCCAGTTGGAGACAGTTGGATATTTTCGGAGAGGACAATTAATCCTTATAGCGTTTTAGCAGGAAATAGCTTATGGAACAACTTTAAGTATTTTGAGCTCACAGAAATAATGCGCCAAAGAGGCGACCATGCATTTGCTCAAGCCCTAAATCATTTATCTGAGGCTTGCATGACAATAGCAGATATAGAGCTCCTTAAACAAAGAGTGGTTTCACCCAGCGAAGTTCCTGATGATGCCATTCATTTATTTTCTTCTAACGAAGAAGTTAATAATTACAATTCCCTAAAACTAGCGCAAATTGGGACGGAAGAATTGGTTTCCACTGCTGTTGATACAGTGAAAACTGCGAACATATCTACACGAAACAGGGAAAACACGTTAAGATATGCTCAAAATATGAAAACCTCTGAAACACAGGGTTTGCCATATGTTCTTCATCTCAAAACAACTGCTAAATATATGGTGACCGTCAATATAGACACAAGTGACGGACTTGTAAATGGAGCAACTGGTCAGCTGATGCTAATTGACCATTGCTTAGTGAATGGCTTAAATTTAGTAACGCGACTTTGGATTAAATTTTTTGAACCCACGGTTGGCACTATCGCCAGATCAAAGGTTCGGAATAGTCCCGATCCCGAATGGACTCCAATAGTAAAAGCCTCTCGAGTTTTTCAATGTGGAAGATCGGAGCATGCTTCTGTTGACCGAAAACAATTTCCAATTGTTCCTGCTGAGGCTATTACCATCCACAAAAGCCAAGGAGCAACATATAGCAAAGTCGCCGTGCATCTTAAAAGAGGCATCAAGCGAGCTTCGTTGTATGTTGGATGCAGCAGAGCCACTAGCGCATCAGGACTTTTTCTTCTAGGCGACTTTGTTCCTCCAACAAGATTTGGAGCTCAAAATGTCCAAGACGAACTTAAAAAGTTAAGAGAGGAAAAGTTTTTGACTACGCATTATGAGTTTGTGGTTAACAGAAACGAAGACATCTCCCTTTATTACCATAATGTTGAGTCTCTTCGAAGCCATCGCGAAGATATTTTTAACGACCCTATTATTTGTTGTTCAAATTTTCTTTGTTTTGTCGAAACTTGGACTCTTCCCAGCGAAGACTTTTCTTCACAAGGTTTCGACATAATAAGAAGAATTGATAGCAATCGATTGAATGGTATTGGCAAAAATGGAATTATGATTTATGCCAAACAAAATATTGCCGAAAATGTAGTTTTCTTGTTTGAGACAAATAAGTCTTTGAGCTCAAGAACTATATACCAATCAATTGCCTTCAAATATCTTAATACATCCTTCATTGTTGTTTATAGGAATCCAACGTTTCCTATAGCACAATTTCGTAATGAAGTTATGTCGGACGTAGAAAGGATACGCAGCTTAGAAAATAATAGCAAATTGGTTATTTTAGGAGATTTTAATATTTGCAGATCCACAACCACTGATCGACTTGAGGAAGCTTTAAATCAATTTAATCTAATTCCAATCAATAATTATGCAACCACGAAACATTTGACGCAAATTGATTGGATTTTTGCTGAAAAGTGAGCTGGGGAATGCTGTTGCTCTTACATACAAAACGAGCTATAGTCATCATGATGGAATTTTTTTTAAGTATAGATATTAAGATTTCTTTATTAATTTATTTATCAATTTAATAACTTATTTATTTATTTGAATTGTATATATTTAAGTGAAATAGAAATAGATTATTTATTGTTTAAAGATTGTGATAAATTTTTTATTTATAAAGTGCAATATAGATTAAGCTTTATAATATTTCCCTCTCGTGGATTGAGACCTTGTCGTGGTGAGGGGGCTGAGTATGTGAGGATTCATAATAAATATCACGGAAACCAGCATCAATCCTTTGTTTTAACTAATTCATAAAAAACAAGAAAGGAAAGTTAACTTCGGGCGGAGCCGAAGTTGATATACCCTTGCAGAATATTCTGTAAATTATATTCTTCAAAATTTGAATTGAACGTATCTACCTTTTTCAGCCACTTTTATAATGCAAGGGAGTGACAGTAACGGGCAGTAACGGTCATACAAATTACGACTGGGTTTACATGCTTTAGTTTACAACCCATTACTTTTTAGATAACAGAGACATTTTATTTAAAGAAATCCACGGGATTATCCCATTATAACTTGGTAAACAGGTCAAATTTGGCAAACGTTCAATTGGTTCAATGAACACGTGCAAGGGGCAGGAATTGTACAAAGATCCTGAACTTCGCAACCGGTAACGCAGGTATGAGTGGCTTTGTAACTGTACAATATCAGGTAATACCTTTTCTAGGACCAAAATTATTCATAACATTTAAATTGCACAACAGGTAGCACAGGTACATACAAAAACATGATTTTTTATTGCCTTTTTTAAAAGGGTCAAACTAGGGAACCTTTAAAGGATCTAGGGATAATTCTTTTTAATTTGGGATATTACCTAACTTGGCTATATATTTAGAAATCCTATATTCCGTAGATCAGTCAATGAAAAAATTTATCGAGTGACGACGTTACTCTGTCTGTTACAAGTGCAAAAATATTTTTTACAAGTGATACAAATTATTTTTTACAAGTGATACAAATTATTTTTTACAAGTGATAAAAATTATTTTTTACAAGTGATACAAATTATTTTTTACAAGTGATAAAAATTAAATGTAATAGCGTGCTATTCGAAACACAAACTTTGGTAAGTACATTTTACTAATAACTTTCAAATTCTCATAAAATGGCATTCCATGCAGGTGATTTTATATATATATCATTTCATAATTTTTATTTTTTCATACAGCACTATAAAAAATGCCACGTGTATCACATTTGTCACAGGAGCAACGTCGCCAAGCTGCTTTAAGTCGCAGTAGAGCCCGCTATGAACGGAATGCGTCCCAAATAAGAGCTCGAAACTCTCAACATATCGCCAATGTTCGCGACAATAACCCTAACTTTCGGGAGGAAAGTCGTGCTCAGGATTCCACTGCCCGCGCGCAGCGGAGAAGAAGTGAAAGGGTTCGCAACCTTGAACGAATTCGGGACGCACAAGCGCATTCAAATCGCCGGGAGGACTCTGAGGAGCGAAGACAAGAGCAGTTGCGAAACACTGCTGAGCATGCGTCTCGGAGGACTAACCCAGAAATGCGTTCTGCGGAGCGTATTGAGGATGCTGCAAGACATTCGAATCGTCGACAGAACTCTGAGGAGCGAAGACAAGAGCAGTTGCGAAACACTGCTGAGCATGCGTCTCGGAGGACTAACCCAGAAATGCGTTCTGCGGAGCGTATTGAGGATGCTGCAAGACATTCGAATCGTCGACAGAACTCTGAGGAGCGAAGACAAGAGCAGTTGCGAAACACTGCTGAGCATGCGTCTCGGAGGACTAACTCCAGAAATGCGTTCCGCGGATTCGGGACATGGATGCACATTCGATCCGTCGAGAGGACCCCGAGGAGCGAAGACGAGAGCAGTTGCGAAACACTGCTGAGCACTCTACTCGGAGGACTTTTCCGGAGTTTCGAATTCCTGAACGGATCCGGGACATGGATGCACACGCGATCCGTCGAGAGGACCCCGAGGAGCGACGACGAGAGCAGTTGCGAAACACTGCTGAGCACTCTAATCGGAGGACTATTCCGGAGTACCGAAATCCTGAACGGGTTCGGGACGCCGCAGCGCGTACTATTCGGCGAGAAGACACCGAGGAGCGGCGACAAGAGCAGGTGCAAAATACTGCTGACCATGCCACTCGGAGGAACAATCCCGAATTTCGAATTTCAGAGCGGATTCGGGACGCCGCAGCACGAGCTGCTCATCGCGAGGACCCAGAGGAACGTGCAAGGGAACAGGAAAGGAACACTGGAGAGCACCGACAGCGACGAAGGGATATGGAAGACAGGCAGCGAGAACGGGAAAGGGACGCCGATAACAGGAGAGCAACCAGGAGAAATCCCATCGCTAGATCACAGGAGCAACGGATAAACACATCACAACGCCGGGAAACACGACAACAGCGGAGGATTCGGGAAGAACAAATTCGGCAAATGGCAGAGGATCGATTATTAAACTTTAGGATGGACTCACAAAATCGACTGGATGCCTCCCAAAGGCAGTCGCAAAGAAACATGGACGCAAGAGCTCAACTTTCGGAGGATGAACTGGCACGGGAACGAGGACAACAGCGAAATAGGATTCGATCATCAGCGAGGGATCTGTACCACAGAAACATTAAGGAAGGCCCAACGGCTATTTGTATTTGCTGTGGAGGAACATGGTTCCGTTCGCAGGTAAGTGGATTATCAATCCTGGCTATCTCCTCTAAATTTCCTCTCCTAAACGTTGGCAACGCCTTTTATTTGTCAAGAAAATTTCCCAGTCCGTCCGGCAAATATAACTTTTGCCACACTTGTCGTCGTGCCATTTCTCTTGGTAAGCTCCCATCACTCTGCCTTTCTAATGGGTTCGATTTCCCAGAAATACCTGAGTGCTTAAATGGACTCACCTGCCTCGAAGAACGCCTTATTTCACCGAGAATCCCTTTTATGAGGATTATTTCCCTCGGCTATGAAAGGCAATGTGGAATCAGAGGGGCAGTGGTGAATGTTCCAATTTCAGTTCCCGATATTGTGACTGCGCTTCCACGCTCTTTCGACTCTACCCATGTCATCCAAGTCCATTTAAAAAGGAGACTAGAGTACGCTCACAATTTCATGACTGAAACTATTCGACCCGCTCGGGTCCTTGAAGCTGTACGGTACTTAGTAAGTACCGAGCTCTACAGAAAGCACAACATTTCACTAAACGAATCATGGCTAACAGAACTTCAAGGAATTAATGATATTCCTTTTATTGCGGACGAATCTGATCGCGAAGCAGTAGAGCAACTTCTTCACCAGCAGCACCACTCCCAAAATGCTTCAGAGCTCGAAGAAAATTTAAATCCCGGAGGCCATGAAACATTATTGGAAAATAATGATACTGCAATTCAGCGCATTGCATTGGCACCGGGTGAAGGCCGTCGGCCAACAAGCTTAACGCTTGACGAAGACGCAGAGGAACTTTCCTTTCCAACTATTTCTTGCGGAGAAATATTTAAAGGAAATACAACCTATGCGAAAAAAGCCAGATCCCAAATCCGTTTTTACGACCGTCGTTGCGCTGTAGTTCCAAAAGTTTTATACATGTATAAATTTTACGAAATGCAGCGCATACAAAATTCAATTTCAATTGCTTTACGCAAAAAGTCAGGAGCGGTTACCGCTGGTAATCTGCGGGATGAATCATTTGTTGACCGTCTTGTGCAACATGATGATGGCTACCACATCCTGAAAGGCTTACGGTCTGCACCAGCTCATTGGGAGGCTGGAAAAAAAAAAGTTATAGCCATGATTCGACAATTTGGGCTGCCAACGTTTTTTATAACCCTTTCCGCTGCTGAAACTAAGTGGAATGAACTTTTAGTTATCCTGTCTCTTCTATTGGATAATAGGGCTATAAGCGAGGAAGAAGCGGCAGCTCTTTCCAGCTCCGAAAAGGCTCGGTTAATCCGATCCGATCCAGTGACGTGCTCTCGATACTTCGATTACAGGTTGCGACAATTAATGAAATTGTTCAAAACCGATATTTTTGGGGAATTCAATCTTTCTCATTTTTATTGGAGAATCGAGTTCCAGCACAGAGGATCTCCACATTCTCATGGCATGTACTGGCTTGCTGGTGCTCCTAAGCTCGAAGACAACGAAAATACCGAGCAAGTAATAAACTTTATTGATAGGTTTATTACTACAAATGGAGACGATACTGAACTACAAGAAGTAATTCAGTATCAACGCCACAAGCATAGTGCTTCTTGCCTAAGAGAGTTACGCGGACAGGAGTTCTGCCGATTCAATATGCCATATCCTCCTATGCCCGAAACGCTTATTTTGCATCCAATAGAAGAAAACGAAGTCAATATTGAAGATCATAAAACTTTGTTTAAAAAAATTAAGGAAGCTTTAAGGACCATTTCAAATGAAGACGCAGCTTTATTTAACAATTTTGATCATTTTCTGTCCCACCTTGAAACTAATTTTGAAGCCTACAAGCTAGCCTTACGTTCCAGCTTAAAAAAGCCACAAATTTTTCTTCGCAGACAATTCTCCGACCGACTGCTCAATGCTTATAATAGAGATATTCTAGGCTTGCACAGAGCTAATATGGATATTCAATTTATCCTAGATGCGTACGCCTGTTGTAGTTATATCATTAACTACATAAACAAATCAAACAGAGGCGTATCGCAGTTGCTCCGTGAAGCCATGGCAGAAATAAGCCATGGGAATATTTCTATTAAAAGGAAATTACAGCACCTAGGGAATAAGTTTATTAACGCAACAGAAATATCGGCCCAAGAAGCAGCTTACAATATTTTGGGTCTGCATATGTCGGAGGCAAGTGAAGGTACTATTTTTGTAAACACTTGCCATCCAGACAAACGAGTTCGATTGGCTCGCTCAAATGAAGAATTAGAGCGACTTCCAAACAACTCGGTGGATATTTTTGAGCGTAATATTCTTGACCGATATGTGCAAAGGCATGAGCAGTTGGAAGGAATTTGTTTAGCAGATTTCGCAGCTTGGTACAGATTTGTCAAGCGGATTGCACGATCTGCCGCTAATCATAGGGAAGACTATGATGAAGCAAATGATGTGGAGGTAGATGACGAAGATGAAGTTGCTGAGCAAAGTTATCCACTGATGGATGGGTCTGGTTGCGTTAAGAAACGTAGGCATCCCCTGATTCTAAGGTGGGTTCGCTTTAGCATAAACTCTTCACCTTGCGATTATTTCCGAGAGCATTTAATGCTCTTCTATCCTTGGCGAAATGAAGAAGCTGAACTTCTTTCCAACGACATTGAAAACACATTCCGAGTAAACCATGAAGCCATTAAGATAATGAAAAGGAACTATGATGTGTTTGATGATATGGAGTTAGAAAGAGTTCTGGAAGATTTACAAGAGGATAGGGGAGATAGTGCTCCTGATGCGGAAGAACCTGCCTCACAATTTTTAGACGAAGAGTTTAGAGCTTTGGCTGTACCAAATATAGAGCGAAACGTAAATATTCTTCAGGAAGACAATGCGATAAACAACCCTGAAGAAGACGGCGAACTTCAATTAATTAGACTCCCCCCGTTAGTTTCCAATGATGACCTTTGCTCGCTAACTCGATCCCTTAATTACAAACAAAGACTATATTATGCACATGTGATGCATAATGTTGTTAGTAAAAATATTTTTTACGAATATGTTGGTGGAGGGGCCGGTGTAGGAAAAAGCAGACTGATTTCTACCATTTATCAGTCTGTGACTTGGCGAGCAAATAAGCTTCCTGGTGCTACGGATTCAGCAAAGGTTTTATTATGTGCTCCGACTGGAAAAGCTGCTTTTGGAATTGGAGGACTGACTCTACATTCAGTGTTTTCTCTTCCAATTAATCAGGCTTCAGGTCCCTTAAGACCTTTAAGCAATGATAGTTTAAATACAATTCATTGCAAGTTGATTGATCTCCAACTGATTATAATTGATGAAATTTCTATGGTTGGTTCTAAAATGCTTTCATTTTTGGATCAACGGCTTCGTCAAATATTCCGAAGCCCTGACTTAAGTTTTGGTGGAAAATCAATTATAGTTTTTGGAGATCTAAAGCAGCTTTCCCCAGTTGGAGACAGTTGGATATTTTCGGAGAGGACAATTAATCCTTATAGCGTTTTAGCAGGAAATAGCTTATGGAACAACTTTAAGTATTTTGAGCTCACAGAAATAATGCGCCAAAGAGGCGACCATGCATTTGCTCAAGCCCTAAATCATTTATCTGAGGCTTGCATGACAATAGCAGATATAGAGCTCCTTAAACAAAGAGTGGTTTCACCCAGCGAAGTTCCTGATGATGCCATTCATTTATTTTCTTCTAACGAAGAAGTTAATAATTACAATTCCCTAAAACTAGCGCAAATTGGGACGGAAGAATTGGTTTCCACTGCTGTTGATACAGTGAAAACTGCGAACATATCTACACGAAACAGGGAAAACACGTTAAGATATGCTCAAAATATGAAAACCTCTGAAACACAGGGTTTGCCATATGTTCTTCATCTCAAAACAACTGCTAAATATATGGTGACCGTCAATATAGACACAAGTGACGGACTTGTAAATGGAGCAACTGGTCAGCTGATGCTAATTGACCATTGCTTAGTGAATGGCTTAAATTTAGTAACGCGACTTTGGATTAAATTTTTTGAACCCACGGTTGGCACTATCGCCAGATCAAAGGTTCGGAATAGTCCCGATCCCGAATGGACTCCAATAGTAAAAGCCTCTCGAGTTTTTCAATGTGGAAGATCGGAGCATGCTTCTGTTGACCGAAAACAATTTCCAATTGTTCCTGCTGAGGCTATTACCATCCACAAAAGCCAAGGAGCAACATATAGCAAAGTCGCCGTGCATCTTAAAAGAGGCATCAAGCGAGCTTCGTTGTATGTTGGATGCAGCAGAGCCACTAGCGCATCAGGACTTTTTCTTCTAGGCGACTTTGTTCCTCCAACAAGATTTGGAGCTCAAAATGTCCAAGACGAACTTAAAAAGTTAAGAGAGGAAAAGTTTTTGACTACGCATTATGAGTTTGTGGTTAACAGAAACGAAGACATCTCCCTTTATTACCATAACGTTGAGTCTCTTCGAAGCCATCGCGAAGATATTTTTAACGACCCTATTATTTGTTGTTCAAATTTTCTTTGTTTTGTCGAAACTTGGACTCTTCCCAGCGAAGACTTTTCTTCACAAGGTTTCGACATAATAAGAAGAATTGATAGCAATCGATTGAATGGTATTGGCAAAAATGGAATTATGATTTATGCCAAACAAAATATTGCCGAAAATGTAGTTTTCTTGTTTGAGACAAATAAGTCTTTGAGCTCAAGAACTATATACCAATCAATTGCCTTCAAATATCTTAATACATCCTTCATTGTTGTTTATAGGAATCCAACGTTTCCTATAGCACAATTTCGTAATGAAGTTATGTCGGACGTAGAAAGGATACGCAGCTTAGAAAATAATAGCAAATTGGTTATTTTAGGAGATTTTAATATTTGCAGATCCACAACCACTGATCGACTTGAGGAAGCTTTAAATCAATTTAATCTAATTCCAATCAATAATTATGCAACCACGAAACATTTGACGCAAATTGATTGGATTTTTGCTGAAAGTGAGCTGGGGAATGCTGTTGCTCTTACATACAA